GGGGGTTTTCTCAGGCTGTGTCTGCAGTTTCTTGATTGGCTTCAGGTTTGCTTCGGGACTGCTGGGGGAAACTCTTGTTGTCTCTGCGTAGGTACTATTCTTGGGAGGGTGGGGTTGTTGTTCTCTTTCTTCAGCAGGGTGTCCATCTGCCAGGTTCTTGCTGAAATTGAGAACTAGTGTCCTGACGTCTCTGCCTAGGGAGGCCGCTCCTTCCAAACCCTTCTCTTCCCAATTGGCAATCTTCTGGCTGATCCCTGAGACAAGTTCAAGGACTTCATCACCTGTGGACTTGATCTGTGCTGTGCGCGACGTCACTGCAGCAGTGATATGGTTGTGGAGTTCAAGGCTCAGTTGGCTCTGGGGGGGGTCATGGGTGGGGGATGCCGGGGGGGTGTCCTGCGCTGGCAGTGGGCCCGTGTATTGGTTCTCAGGGGCTAGGCTAGGAAAGTGTTGAGCCTGCTGTGGTGTCTCTGGTCCTATCTGTACTGGTTGATGGGCGGGGTCGAGGGGAGGCACGGTCGGGGTCTCATGGGCCTCTGAGGCCTCGCGCATGATGGCGTCCGCCACTCCATTGGGCAGGTTGGGTCCTTTTTCCTTTCGCAGTTTAGTAGAGCGCAGGCGATAATGCGCCTGGGTAGCGGGGGCAATTCTTTTCTTGATGCCCGTGGTGCTCATTGTGTAAGCGTGAATGAGGAGGCGGTGGGTACTAACACTTTGTGTTAGTACCGTGTTAGTACCCATCGGGTCACGTGCTTGACCGCCCTCGCTTTCTGCCCGGTAGTTAGACATAGCTAGCCTGAGCCGATAGGCACTCAATCAAATCAACTACGTTTGCCCACTAAAACTTTGTTCCGTCCCACCGGTGAGCTGAGCTCCTGTACAGTTTCTTACTTTACCGCCTCCCCTTACTAGTTCCCAACCACAGTTAAAATACTTCCTGCATTTATTTTGCCGGTGAGTGTCACGGGCTCGGAATAGAAGATAATATTGAACGGAGTTCCTATCTAAGCTATTGTAGCCATCGACGAAAATATCAAATCTGGGGAGGAAAGAGAAGAGGAAATCTATCTACAGGAAATGGAGGTTTTATAGGCGTTTGTTTGACATCACCACTCATCTAGTATGTTGGTGCCATTTGTCAGTGTCAGCCATTGATGCAGCAGCCATTGACACAGCACTGAGCCATTGACGCAGTGTCAAGCTGTCACAGTGAGATGAAAAATGATGTTTTTATGATGAAAAAGGGATGAAACCTGATACTAGTTACATCCCTCCCTGCTGAAGCCTAAGACGTAATTGCTGTCACGGCCACTTATCTAGGGCGCATTCCAAAGAGATAACCGCTGCGTCAGGAGCAAAAGACTAGGATACTAAGCCGACAGGCTTAGTACTGCGCTCACTTATATAGTTAGGTGGTTCATGCCGTTACAGAATTAGTATTTATCTAGCTCAAAACTAGTTTAGAACTAGATACCTCAGTGAGTACACTCGGAACAGCATTTCGATCATGCAAGATGAAACGGATAAACCAATGTAGCGGTTAAAACTCCGTATCGGGGAAGTCGGGGGAGTCGATTATCCGGACTGCACGAGGCTGTAGGCGACGAATTTTAATTACACAAGGAGGATAACATTGATCTCTATAGACACAAAGGTGATGGAATGAGTGCTTGGCTATCTAAACCGAATGTGTGTGTCCGTATATGAGAGGTCTGTCGGCCTCGGTAATCGGACCAACTGTAACCTGACCGTAGTTAGGGCATCTCTCTCTTTCAGTGAATGCACAAGGGAACCAGCATAGAGAATTATGGGCCAATAATTATTCAAAATTCTTAATAAACACTAATATCCATTGGTTACAGCCACAAGACAAACAGCTCATTAAAAAAAAAAAAAAAAAAAAGGGAATCAATCCACACAACGCCAAAAGCTATGCACATGTATGTAGCAGTCAGTAACTGTTTCGCATAGTATGTCAAATAAAACCACAGAAGGAAAAGAAATGTCCAAAAGTACATCCTTCTGTTTTTCGTCCGCCGAAGTATCCCGTGTCTATCCCACAATGTAAACCCGTTTGACCTGCGAAACAAAGGAAAAAGGACTGCAGCGCCATGCTAATGCGAAATATCGTACAGTGTCCAGTAAAGAGTGAAATCCAAATGCCCCAAAGGAAGAAAATATATGCAACAGATCAAATGAATGATGAACGAATGTCGTCGAAGAAGCGTAAAATGCAAAAATTGGGGGGGGGGGGGGGGCATTAAGACAAAAGATAAATGCAAGATGTAGGAATGCAAGAAGAGAAAAGAAGTAAAAGGAAGGGCGTGAAATCGCTGCGCCAAAGTATTAACAGAGCGCCACCAAAGTTCCAGAGGAAACATCATTAGCGTATGGTCCAGCGCCATTGCTCATGTTCGAAGAATGTCCAGCAAAACGGAATTATGACCAGGTCACGGTCAAGTAAACGGGCACTATTGGCCCAGGCAAAACGACAAAAAGGGTAATCAAAAAACGCCGACCAATATGTAATGTGCGAAGTCAATACAATCAAACAAGGAAAACAAAGGAGAAAATATCAGAGCGATTACGCTCCATTTGACGCATCAGTCAGGGGATACGACATTGGCGCCATATAATTATAGCAAGTATTGCTCGAAGCCGCACTCACTGGGGCCGGGTTGTTGACAAAACCGTTATAATCCCACGAGGAATTTCGGTTGATAGGCGCAGGAAGCGCGTATTGGGTCTGCTGCTGACAGATAGCAGGAGGGTACGAGTATGGAGCCGGCATCGAGTTGAAGGGCTGGCTGGCAGCCGGAAGGACGGTCCGGTAGTCAGAATTCCCCGTCATAGGCGTCATGGGGATGTTTGCCGGAGAGGAATAGGCTGACGTGACCATGGTAGGGCCATAAGAGGGTGCTGTATCTGAGACGGATTGGGGAGACCCCGCGTTCTGGGGATCCGTTCCCGAGTCGGAACCAGGACCATAGTTTGACATCATTGAGGTTGGCAAAGCTGCGGCAGTCGACGAGTAGCTGGCAGACTATGGAGATAAGTCAGTTACTGGATTCAAGTAGATTTCGGTGATAAAACTCACGTATTTCCCAATGATCTTCTTCAGGGCATGACCAAGAATCTTCCATGGGAACACTTTGACATCTTTCTCGATGTTGCGAGGTTTCGGTGCTGGGAAGCCCATAATGACCTTGAAGAATTCTTCACTGTCTGCCTTGGCCTTCGAAACGGTAAGAGGTCGGAATCCCTCCAGGTTTCTTCTAATCCGGTTCTTCTCCTCCACGGTGAACCGCACCCCGACCAGCGACTCGAGCAGGTAGATGGTGTCGACGCTGGTCACAAAGCACTCATCCTTGCCTTCCCAGTAGATGCAGCTGATGCAGATACTGTTGGGCGCCCGTTTCTCCGGAGCGACTGGGGCAAAGTCAGCGTGGATGGTGCTGCCGCTCTGGGCACGGGTGAACTGGACAAGACGTCTCTTCGCATCATGTTCATCTTGGGTCCAGTTATCCGCCATTGTGTCAAGGTCACCATTCAGCTTCAGAACTGCCTTGGTTGGGTACATCGCGTACGGGTTGAAGGATTGTGTTTGTCCAAAACCACTAGACTGGTGCAAGGTCGAGGTTCGAATCAACGTGGGGGTTGTCCCTATCGAGGGTGAATGTGCCTGGGGCGGACGTAGGCTGTGGCTGGCAGCGAGGGCGGGGTTCCGGACATCGCTAGACATCGACATGAGGGAGGGACTCCAGGAAGGCATCAATGGCGAAGGGGCTCGAAGGCCGGACTGGGGTGTCGCCGACACATTGGAGTATTGAAGAGAGCTCATTCTGGGCGAGGAAGCGGGACGGTAAGGCGCTGCGAAGCCATTCACAGCGGGAATGTTCTGCAGATAGGGCGAGAACGATGCCGAGCGGCTTTCACGGTACGGATATACGTCTTGCTGTGTGTCTCGGGCGGCAATCGGAGGTCCTGCGAGGCGCTTGATAGGCTGGGAAATGTCGTCATCTTCGAAGGACGAGATTCTTCGCTTCTTCTGCGATGCATCTGATGGCGAGGATCGAGAAACTTGTTCGTATGTGTACACACCAACTTGGAGCGTGGTCGAGGGTTGGCTATCGATGACCACTTGCAGTGGCACCGCGAACGAAGGGGATCCGGTGGAAATGAAGGGCGGAGCTTGAGCGGAGATGGCATACTGGGACAACGAGCCTTGAGCGCCGAGAAGGTGGGGAATGCATTCGCATCTCTTAGAACCAAACACCAGAGTAATTGGCACCGTCGAGGAGTGAAGGTCGTAAGGAGACTGGATCTGTACGAAGACAGTGGTATCTTCGCAGCCTCTCTGGGGGGTGTAGGAAACGACCTCTGGCATCGGGGTGCTACCATCGCCACCAAGTATAGGGGAGCCGGCGTCGCCGTAAGAGCTGGCGTAGTCCCCGCCAGCCAGGTATGGCACGCAGTCGGAGACCTGGCTTGCCTGATCCCCTATGGGTGAAGGGACGAGCGGAGTGGTCACATAGGAGGTCTGACCGTACGAGGGATAAGCGGCGGCATCATCATGAACAGATCGTGTCGCACCATAATCTATCAAGAAACATTAAGGTTTAGTGCCACATTCCTGGGCAGGGTAGATGCCCTTTTCCCGCGAGGGGCAGGAGTACATACCTAGCAGGGCCATCTGCGGGGGTTTCTGAAAGGCAGACATAGACAGGATTGGCTCAGACTTGGCCAATAGGCCGTCTGAAAATGCACCAGCGAACCGTGTCTCTTCAGTATCCGAAAGCTCGAACGAATCGTCGAGAATTAAGGGAGTTTGGAAGTTGGGATCGAACTGTCATGTGCAATGTGTTAGTGATGAGAAACCTCAGGTGAGGATACATGCATAGTCAAAACAAGTAGGAAGACACAGAGGGAGTTAGAAGGGGAAGAGACAGAGAGACAGAAAACGAAACAAGCGGTTGACGGATGGTTGGGACTTACCAAAATACCGTGATCCTTCGAGTAAGCCAGCTTGAAGGGTGTTGCAGTGATGATGCACTGCAACGAGACAGGATTTCTCTAACGAAGCGAATGACTGGGAATTTATCCTGGGAAACGACAGTAGGGCCGGAAAGTCACCAGGGAGCTCTCCGAGACAAAACGAGTGACGAGACGAAGCGGGTTGTCAGTCTCAACGAAAGAAGAGACGTCACGAAAGACCGCTTCGAATCAACAACGACCCAAGCTGAAACCAATAGAGGATGGCTGCAGGATAGGGGGTGTGGCAGGATCCAATACCAGCCACCGGTGGTCAATAGACGTGAGGATGAGTGATAGTCTGGCGATATCCCACGATCTGGACCAAAGAACGCTTTATATTGGTGTCCAGAAACTTGATCCGGAGATGTTTCGGTGTCTTCCTCTTTCTTTCACTTCCAGATTTTCTGATGACTTTGAACGAAACGAGTCTCAGAGTACTCCAAGACGGGGGAGCACGTTGGTTAAAAGCGAAGAGGGACAAGTCGCGAATTAAGATAGAGCTAATGAGAATGGTGGACGGAGGAAAGACCGGCTTGTTGCATAGGACTCTCGCGGGACCTACCGAATGGACAAAGAGTGAGAGGAGAAAAAAGACGAAGGACTAGATTCAGAGCTGCTGAGACCCTTTCCCAATCTAATAT